CGCGGTGCCACTCGTGGCCGTGGCCCACGCCCCGCCCCGCCCCGCCACCGTCATGGTCGGGCTCGCGTCTGCGCCCCTCCCGGCCCGCCGCCGCCGTGGCCTTAGCTGCGCCTGTGCTCCTCCCTGCCCCGCCGCCGCCGTGGTCGTGGCAGCGGTCCGCCCCGCCCGTGGCCGGCTGGCGAGCTGGCGCGCGCATACGAGGAGGCCAACGGCGGCTCCGGACGCACGGGACACACTTTTCACGTGTGTGAGAAGTTCAGCGCGCTGGAGCTCAAGCGCTAAATATACGGCTTGCGATCCAATTTTGTCCGGCGCGCTGAACGCTTTTTACAGGATGCTCTATTATACAGCGTCCGTTGGAGAGCTATTTTCAACTCCGGGCGCGCTAAACTTGCGATTTTTTGGGCGCTAATATTGGGCGTCTGTTGGAGATGCTTTAAGTAACGAGAGGCAAACACAGTACAAAAAAAGGCCCTCAAAAGGCGATCCGGCGAGGGCTCAGACGATAGATGGTCAGCAAGAACAATCGGAAAAGCTAACAGCATTTAGAGCATCTCCAACAGGCGCCGAACGCGCCGCGCGCAAAAAACAGCTTATAGCGCGCGCCCATCGCCTGGTTTGGCGCGGCGCGCAGCGCTGGCTCCAGCAGCCGCGCTAAAATGCAGCACGCGCGCCGTTAAAACAGCGCGCGCGACACTCGCACAAACAACATATGCATTCGAAAACAGAAGCAAAAAGATCAAACAAACAAAAATAAATAGTTCAATTTCGTTTATTACAACTCAAACAAACAGTTTATCGTTCAATACAACAAATAGTGCAATTAAACACAACAAATAGTTCAACAATACAATAACGAACGCACAAATCATGTTGCTCTTTGTCGTCCATTCCATGCCCACCACTCCTCAATGAGATTCTTCTGAAGATCGTTATGCGCTGCGGGACGTCGAATGGCATGATAGAAGGCAACAAAACGGGCCACCCTTTCAGCCCTCCGTCGCACTCGCACGGGATATCCCAAGAGCTCATACTGAGAGTAGTCTACATCTTGGGCACGCTCATTCTCGATGATCATGTTGTGCATGATCACACAAGCATGCATTATGTACCAAAGCATCTTGGCCACGCTCATTCTCGATGATCATGTTGCGACGTCTTCAGCGTTGGGAGATCTCAAATACTCCTCGCCAAACACTTGCACAATTCCGACTGCGAAGCGCTTGACACACATGATGGCTTGGCTCTCACCCATAGCCAAGTGATCATCAACTAGATCAGCCGGTATACCGTATGCCAACATACGCAAAGCGGCTGTCACCTTCTGAAAGATGCTATGCCCGAGCTCTCCGGCGGCATTCCTCCTTTGCTGAAAAAAGCGGTCATAGCTCGCTAGTTTCTCTGCAATGCGCCTGAACAACTCGGTGCTTATCCTAAACCGGCGACGAAAATATGACTCGAGGTATGTGGGATTCTCCGCAAAATAATGCCTGATCAATCTGTTGTGGGCATCGATCCTATCCCTCCAAATTTTCTGCCGACCCATAACCGAACCACCGTGCTTTGGTTTTTCATTAATATGCATAGCTAGGATCATTGCAAGATCCTCCTCCTCTTCCATATCAAATTCTTCTTCGGAAGAATCATATGACGAACTCATCTACAATGTTGAATACTATGCTATAAATAAAAAACTACAATCAACATGCACGAAATTCATGGCTTTTGAGCAATACATACCTTCTAGGCGTTTTCTCGAACACCTTGCGGGCGCCGAGCGGCAGCGAGCACGCGGGCGGGGCGGCGGGACTAGAGGGGGGCCGGAGAAAGCGCGCGCGGGGCGGGGATAGGCCGGGGAAGCGCCGGAACGGTCGCCGGGTGGCGTGGTCGGCGGCGGCGGCGCGGCTGGATGGCGAGGTGGGAGGTGCGAGCGAGCGCGCGAGAGTCCAGCGCGCGAGAGCGGGCGCAACAAATAAACGGCGCGCGATTGAGTTCCGGCCAGCGCGCTGGACTACGTATGTCGCGCGCGCTGTTTTCGCGCGCCCGCTGAAACAACTATTCCGGTTACGCGCGCTAAAACGAGAAATTTTGCAGCGCGGCGCTAGTTTAACGCGTCTGTTGGAGATGCTCTTAGTTCAGTAAAACTGAAGCACTTCTCAGCCCTCTCACGCCCTTATAACAGTTTCGCGTCCCGGCCGGTCGTTTCTGGCAGCTAGCTCATGATGATTAGCAAGAGGACATCTAGCAATTAACCTAACAATTCAGCCAAACAAGGCACCTCCGTTTCTTCAGTGAGTGGACCAAATCAAGTGCATGCGTACAAGTTTCTGGTAAGAGTATATATCTGGCATCTACTTCTACTTGCAGTAATCGCGGGTGCTGGTCCAGCTAGGCCAGCTAACCCCTTTTCTTTTTGCCACATATCTTCATGGACTCCAAGGCCTCCCTGCATATTTCAGTTCAGTTCCAACTCTAAGTAAGTTAAGTATGGTGTCTACGGGGCAGGCTGTTCTAACTGAAAGATCACCGCAACAAGGAAGAAACATCATTGACCATCCATGGTTATCACAGTAAGTATAAAATGTAGCCAACAGGAACAAAGAGGATACCGTAACCCGTCTTCCATCTCGACGTTCCCAGGCTCCAACTTAAGACCATCAAGAAATGCACCACATGCCTTTTCATAGTCCTGAAGACAAGGAGTTTGAATTGTACATACTACATCAAATACGATTCTGTTGCCACAGAAAATAACACAACTTGTGTACTTGTATCGAAACGGTTTTCCCACACAAACAAGACACACGACTCATCTAAAAAAACATCGCATCTCACCTTCAGTAGCATCAGAGCAGTTCCTTCGCGGTGGCAGCCCTTGGCCCAGCCAGGTCGCATCATCCTGCAAGCTTGAGCGTCCTTCAGGGCCTGCGTCCCATTACCGAAGCGAATCCAGCATAGGCTACTGTTTGAGCGCAAGGTCGCATTAAAAGGGTCGAGCTCCATTGCCTGCAACAGCACACAACAAGCATCAGCACAGTTCTGCACAATGTTTAAGATTTGCCAGCAAGAAATCTGCCGTGCTGGATGAACCACTAAAACAATTTGAATTTTAATAATATATACGCATGCAGTAAATACAAGTCATCAATGACATGATTAGCTTCCATAAGCATGTGATAGGATATCTGCTCGATGGAAATGGCCCAGTAAGTGAAAACAACTTTACGAGCTCGGTCCCT